TGCTAGAGGCCCAGCCCAGGGCTGCAGAGAAAGCAGGGGCCCTCGTACCCTGGAGGAAGACGGGGTGTGACCACCAAGGTGGTTAAGCTTCCAAAGTGTCAAGAGCAGCCCCCCTACAGGAGTGTGCTGAGAACAATGAACCACTTGAAATAGGTGGGGTGTCAAGTGGCCAATCTCCCCGAGAAGTGGGGTTGAGAAGCCTCAGAGAGGCCACAGTCAGCAGCAGTTGGGACCGCAGTGTGCACAGGGCTCAACAGCCACTGCATGGCCATCGTCAGCACAGCGCCAGGTGCAGACACCAGGGTGCCCCGCAGACAGCAGACGAAGGTCAGATCCAGTGCTTGGGCCACTGCCTTAGCTGCCGGAGAGAGGCGGTGAGTGGATAGAGGCACCTCCCAAGCCCCAAGTATCCAAATTCACCTCCTAATAGCTCCCTGTCCCCATCAAGAGTAAGTACAAAGGTCTTGGACTCTGAGCAGCAGGGTACAAACTGAATGTGAAACCGAGGCGATGCTCTCTCCATCCTCCGTCCCCTCTTTGCTGAATAGGAAGTACTATGAATAGTTTTGCTTAGAATTAGTGCCTTGCGCGGTGAATGGGGAGAGCAGGTTTTCCAAATTTGGTAGAAGTAAGGTTGATAATCTGATCTTCTTCTGTGTCTGGTTACGATTTTACACTCGGTGAGACTTAGTATTGAATTACTCTGACTTGGGAAGTCACATATATTCTAGCAAGAGCAAGCCCAGGCTGTAGCTGCAGAAGGTTCCCCAGCTGCACACAAGACTGGACAACCTCTCTGTGTAGTGTAGCTTTGAAGCAAATTACTAATGAATTATTCTAATCCACCTCAGAGTTTTCCAGGGGCAAACGCAACAATGGTCCCCAGCAGTCCAAGGGGGGTGTGAGGGCCGGGGAGCTGGTATAGGTGGAAGGAGGGACAGGCTTTGGAAGGGGGGAAGCACAGCTGATCTCCTAGTCAGAGAGCGAGAGCCACATACTTAATGAAAAACAGATGACCCTGGGGTGAAGTGTCAGGAAGGAAGGGATGTAAGGAAGGGTTCTGCCCTAAGGACCGAGACCCTTCCTGCCTCTCCCCCTGCAGGTAGAGGGAGTTGCCTGCTAGAGAACAGCAAATAAAGATTCCACAATGTAGGCAGGGGTGAGTAGGGCAGGGCATTGGGAGGAGCTGGTTTTCCTTCTTCAGACAAACTTCCCTTCCAGAGGTCACCCCAAGCATGACACCAAGGGGCAGGGAGTTGGCAACTGTGGTTCTCTTACTTACTCAGCTGGCAAGAGGAGATGGCCTGTCCGTGACACACTTAAGTGGCACTTAAATCTCTAACTCCTGATTCTCACAGATCCACTACTTCAAAACCTGGCCAGGAAGAGAGGTGTTATTTATTGGGCATCTTCAAGTCTTCCAATAAAGTTTCTAGAATATTCTAATAAAATGTCTGTTTAAAAGAAGTCAACAAAGACTCCTGTCTCTTAACTTCATGAAAGCTGAGATTATGATTTCTTCCTTTTTAAGCTCATTTATTTAATACCAAGCACGTAAGTGGCCAAGTCTTGCCAAGTGTCAAGAAGGCAAATATTGACTAGAACATCCTATCCTGCTCCTAAGGAGCTTATTTATAGTCCTTGTAAAGGAAACCATATGCATTAAAACAAAACCTTTTGAGAAGTGTATTTACTAAGTTGGATGCTCTAGGGTTTTTAGTAAGAAGTTAGTCAATTCTCCAGGGAGGGGGAAAAAAAAAAAAAAGGAAAGGGGACCAAAAAAAAAAGGAATGAAAGAAGGGACAGGAAACTGTCCCAGGAGCCATGACAGCAAAGATTACAGAGGAGCCAGGCAGGAGGATGGAAGCACTGGTGCCTTAGAAGGAGGGAAGAGGCCCTCACTCCTTGGGATTCCTCTTCCTGATGCTGCCTTCCTTTCTCACACTCACCACGCGCTCTCTTGCCTTCCTCTCTCTCCCCTTCCGAAGTTTCCTTTCCACTGCAGCAATCTCTGAGGTTCCAATGATAGAAAGAAAACGCTACATCTCTAAGTAATCTCTTGCTTCTAAAAGTGATGTTCAGAGATAGGCCCAGGGCAAATAAAACAAAGGCACATATTTACCTAAAACACAAGTCATAACTCTGCAGAGTCTGACAATCTCATTTTTATGTAAAAAGAGATCAAACAACCTTTATCAAGCGCAGACACGTTATTACGTGCACTCCGGTCGCACAGGGCATGCAGGAATCCTCAGCTCCTGCTCAGAGATGTTGTCTTCATGTAATTATGGAAGAGGAGCAGGAAACAGGGAAGCTGCAGAGGCTGGGCACAGGTCCGTGGTCTGGTTTTCTATCTCCATACCCAGATTAGACTTGGGCAACTTATGGTAAATGAGAAATGTGTGCCTGAAGGTCTCCGTGACTGAACACGCTTTCCTTGTCTTCCCGTACCGCCTTTGCAGCCTCCCTTCCAGATGGGCCACATTTCACTGACTGACCATCACCTCAGGAGGCAAGCAGCAGGGAAGCCACTTGGGGCTCCCTCCCCACCGCCTGACTGGCTCCCCTATGGACAGGGCTGCAGCCCTGGCCCAACAAGGCACATGGGCCTGGCGTCACCACTCCAGAAGGGAAGGCTGTGCCAGTCTTTAAAGGTTAGGCAATCCCAGTCTGAAATGGGTTCGCAGCACACAGAACACCCGGAAATAACCTCTCCTTTACTCGATCGAGTAACAGAATAGCCTGACAGGTGCTTCATTCACTCACTCACAGAAAAAGGACCGAGGGGAAGTGGCAAAATACTCACTAGCCCTGGTTACCTCTGCCTAGCGGGCTGTGGTCTCGGGTCTGTCTTCTAGTTTTCAACCTCTGTATTTTCCTGTTTTCTTACAGTATATCGTAATTTCTAATAATCACACTTGCTCTTTTAGACAATTCGATACGATGACACCAAATTTGAACACACGTGTAGTCGCCTTTACTGGGTGGGGCCGTGCGGGAGGCAAGGGCTCTCCTCTGACTTAAAACGTCTGGTTTCCCATTTTGCCTCATGATCCCATTGTTAGCAATACAGCATCACCATACATAGTTCCAATAACAATAACTTAACTTCTTTCAAATCTCAAGACGAGCTGACTGCACCCATGTATGCCAGATCTGGAGACAATGCCAGTTTCAAATATTCCGTTTTACCCAAATAAGTCACTGAAACACTCAAGTCTCAAAAGCTTACATTCCAAACTATTTGGAAATAAATATTAAAAAAATAAGATCTTTTGCTTTTTCACAAAAGCATGTTACATTTTACATGTTACATTCCACCACACGCTTTATGGTTACCACCAGAGAAACCATAGTGGGCTGACTCAAGCCCGCTGAATCAAGCTCTAAAAAACTGTGGCAGAGAAGAAGCCAGGACCTTCAGAAGAGATGGGGTCACCTGGACCTAACCCCCAGTTCCCTGTGTACAATCATCCACTGTCAGACATTTCTACAGAAGCATCAGAAGTGTAACTTAGAAGAACTACTTACTGTTCTACTCTCTTGAAATACTCAAATTTACCACATCCTTATTCTACTGTTGAGCCTTGAAAATATTTCTATTTTTTGCCATTATAAACATATCCCCCCCAAAAAACCCAAGATTTTATTTGCATTTATTTTTCCTGGATCATGAATAATACCTCGTCAGTGGATATGAAAATCACTACAACACTTACTATACGTACAGGAGAAACTCTAAAGCACACTGGCCAGCCCTGCCCAGGCCTGGCTCCGCCCTTGGTCTCTGCCAAGTCAGTTAACTTCAAGTCCTGGCCACAGTCTCTAAAGTGAGAATAGGCCTGGGAGCACATGTGCTGAAGGTCAAAGTGTTGACGTGGTGCAAAGCTACACAAATCACAGATGTTACAACAGGTAGATAAGTTCTTTGAGGATGAGATTCCCACTGATCTATCAATCTATGAAAAGCCCTCAATGCACTAAACATTAAGATTATAAAAAAAGGAAACAGCTCTTGCCCATAGCCTCATGGAAGGTCAGCAAAAAGTGACACACAGGATGCTAAAATCCTAAAAATTACCCATCTGGAGGCAAATTCCCAGACATTTCATGACAGGTGAATTAATTCTGCTTGTACCTCCCCACCCTAGAATGAAAGATCTAGGAAGACAAAAAGCCTAGGCCAATGCCGGCCCTCTAGCGGATGCTCCGCATGACCACAAGGTGAAGGCCGTCCAGGTACTATGCCTCATGGAAATTCCAAGCAATTTTCTAAAGCAGTTCTTCACTTACTAATCTGAAAAGAAGATAAGTTGGCAAAGCCCAAAATACATTAGCTCAAGAGATATTCCTTTTCATAAAATCATAGTTACAAGAACATATGGATGACCAAAGAGGGAAAATGGTCAACCCTAGGCCTATTAATGAAAGACACATTAGAGGAATTTTAAGGTACCATTCCATGCCATTTCTTTCCACTGAGTCCCACCCAGACAAGGGGTGGGGGGCCCCACAGTCAGGCATTCCCTGAGCGACATCATTACAGGTGACCATGGAGGTTCTGTCTTCCTGAAAAGCAACCTGGCAAGATTTAACAAGCTCTGCAAAACAATTCATCTAACTACAGAAACTTTACAAAATATATACCCCAAGGAAACAGGCAATCCAGGAGGGAAATAAAGAAAATTAAAAAATATACACATGGCTAATGGCAATAATCTTGAGAAACTGGCCAACATTTCAAATATCCAACAACAGGGCCAAGCAAACTGTGAGATATCAACCTGGCGGCCACATGGCCGTTCAAGAGACACCTGTGAATCCCACTGACATTTCACACACCTATATTATTTCTATATATCTATCGGACTTTTTCAAAAAGTTAAACACAGTAAAATGCCAACTTTATGTAAAAAGGGATGCATGTACCCTGAAAAAGAGAAGTAAATTTAGCCAAGTTTGGTGTTGACTAGCATTGAAAACATATCTGTTAAAATGACCTGTGTCTGTGAGAGCTGGATGCTCTGGACCTGGGGGAGTGGAAAATAGGCGTTCGGAAGCTGCTCTGCAGACCCTTCCGTGGAAATTCTGCGAGTCCCGACTCCAGACACCTGTGGGGAGAAAGAGTCTTAAAGCACATTTGCCATAATGTAAAAAATATATTTCCAAAGGAAATATGCATTCCTCACGCTGGCCTTTCAGACTCTCCCCAGTAAAATTACCCTATTTATCTTTTTTCTGCCACAAATGCAAAAAGAAAAACTTGCTGTATTTAACCTGAATGTTCTTCATTGTAGTAAGTCTTCTCAGAGATAAATTGTCTGATATAGGACCATGTGTCGAATGGAACCCAGTAAGAATTAATCACCAAGGTGACAGATCTTGGCACTTAAATGACTTGATGCCACATCCTATTAAATAAATGTCTTAGGTACCACTTAAGGGAAAGATTCACAACTATGCTTGTAAAAACAAAAAGATTCTTCCTCCTTCCTCCCTAGGGCCCTGAGCAGTAAGATAAAATAAAAGCTGTAAGCCTCCCAAGAACTGGCCTCCAAGCACCCAATTCATGTCCTGATCAGACATATTCCTGAGCCCAGGAGGGGAGGAGGCAGAAATCACCAGACTGTCCTTGCAGCTCCCTCCTGCTGGGCTGTTTGCAAGGGGAGAGTTGTGAATTTTGAAAGCCTGCTCTATTTTATACTAGAAAACTGTATGATCACTGTCTCTTCTTTTTTTTTAAATATTAAATCTTTTTATTAAGGTAATCTCGGTTTATAACACTGTTTAAGTTTTAGGTGTTGGGAGGTGAGAGGATTCACCAGAAACAGAGTGGGGAGCAGAATGGACAGATCTACTGAAATACACTGCTGAGGGGAGAAGCAGGGAGAGAGGAGAGGTCTACTGCACCCTGTGGGTTAGCTTCCTGGCCAGGGACTGAACTCATGCCACAGTGTCTGGTAATAGCTTGATAGTGCTGAGACAACCCTGAGCCACCAGGGAGGCCCTAGACCTATTTTAATATTTTGAGAAACTCCATACTATTTTTCCCCAATTTCTTCCTTTTGTTCTACTTCCCTACAATGACCCTCCAAGGTCTGTACTGAGGGCAGCCCGCGGAGTGAGGCACTTGAGGGGGAAGGCAGGTGGGCTGAAGAGCACCGACACCCTTACATATTAATGACCTAAGGCAGGTGGCAACATTTCCAACAGTCGCCTTTAAACTACTTAAATCCCTTTGCTAAGTCAGCAGCCAAACTCAGTGACAAAAAGACTTTACTTACATGATAGGAAAGGACTCCATCAGAAGAGGTATTAATAAATAAAGAACTTTCAATGCTTCCTTCTTCAGTAGGTAAGAAAATAATTCTGAAGGAAGTCTTCCCCATTGCTGGAATTACCTGCAAGAAAGGTATCACATTAGTCATCTGGACTGGCACTCCCGCGTCCAGTGACCTTTATCTGACGCAGTTCCAGCTTTACTTAAATACAGAGAACAACCAATGTCCAAACATGCCGATATTTAGTGAAAGTCAGAGGTGGCAATGATCTGGACAGACGGTCATGAACAAAATCCTGGGTTCATCCTCATACCATATCCTTAGTCCCAATATTTAAAAACAAAACAGTGCATCAGGTGGGTAAAAGAAATAAAATAAAATCCACTAGCAATTGGGCTCTCCAATAAGAGGTAAGGACTACTGAAATTAGAACAATTACGAGACCAGGGTTTCAAGCTCTGTGTTATGTACAAATTAGCTTCATGGGGATCCATTTACTTCCTCTTAGTACTGTATTTAGAGAGGGGTCCTGTCTGCTTTGGCAGGTTCCCCAGGTGTTGAGCTCATGACCATGACCTTGTATCTTAATAAGAAGCACCGTCACTGAGGGCTTCAGCACTTGCAGATGTGTCAAGACAAATATTAAGTTTCTTTAACCAGGAATAAGTCATATTAATAAATACATTGCTACCTAGGGTAGACTCTTTAAGCTTTGTTCCTCCATATTACTGTCAATGCCATGAAAATGATGAAGATCAACAACTGAAAAACTAAATGCTAAAGCAAACACTCAGAAGGAAGAGTTTGGGTAGCAGAAAATGGGGAGACAGGGTGCAGAAAGTGAAAAATGTCAGGGCCAAAGAAAGCAAGAAAGGCTGGCAGGCTGCCACGCATAGTTTCCAAGAGCACATCAACACTTACCCTGCAATGAACAGGAGGCACATGAAAATGTCTAGCAGCTGTAAACACTGAATTCACTACGACTTCACTCTCCCGACTAGGGTTATAAGCATAGAGAATCTTTGCTGCTGGATGACCCAGGAACCTAGTTGGAAAACAAGGGGGAAAGCAACGTAGTGTGTGGTTAGAAAGAGCAAGATAGAAGGACACACAGGCATGTACGCTAAAAACCCAGAAAGCAGCTGATGTTCATAAGTTAAAAGCAACAATGGTCAAATGCTGTTGTTAATAAGATACATAATCCTCAATGGTTCAAAGAGAAAACCCCCTATCCTTTATAAGATGCACATCAACCCATAGTAACACCCTACTGGTTTCATGTTAGAATTCATTCCATCTGGGGCCTCCCTGGTGGCGCAGTGGTTGAGCACTGGGTTGCGAAGCTGCCTGCAGTCTCTGCAGCGCCGGTTCGATGCCCGGCTGCTCCCCGGCCACTGGAGGAGGGTCCCACATGGTGCACAGACCTCTCCTGCCGCCCGCTGCTCCCCTCAGTAGTGTACTTTGGTCCCTCTGGCTCTGGTGAATTCTCTCACCCTCCCGTGCCTCTGACTGTACCCAGTGCTTGTATAAATAAATAAATAAATAAATAAATAAATCTTTGAAAAAAAAAAAGAATTCATTCCATCTGGGCCATTCCATGCTTGCAAAAAAAACACATGACGGGGCCTCCTTGGTGGCACAGGAGGTTGAGCACCACTCTGTGAAACTGTCCACAGCCTCTGCAGCACATGTTTGATCCCCGGCCGACCAGGGAGCAACCCACATGGAGCAGCAGACCTCTCCTGTCTCGCCTTGCTGCTCCCCTCAGCAGTGTGTTTCAGTCAATCTGCCTGTTCTGTTCCCCACTCTGTCTCTGGTGAATCCTCTCACCACCCCACATCTCTGGCCTGTACCCCAACTCTTGTATGCATAAATAAATAAATCTTAAAAAAAAACAACATGATGGCAACCAGGCCCTTCTCTGGCTTAAATCTTGAATTCAAATGAAAATATGTGTAGATAAGAAACTGTATTCACAGAGGTAAAAAAACTACTTTGTTTTCTGCATAATAAATTTAAAGAGGCTTTGGGGTGGGGGGTGTATTTCAATTCACAGAGAGATTTTAAGTCTTATAGAAGGAAAAGGTAATTGTTGCTAAAGACCATTCTTGTGAGAAAAGTGCAAACCCCGCAGCGCCCTCTGGCAGAGGTTCTCAGGAGGGAAGAGCCTGCTGGCCCAGCCACCTGGAGCTACCTGCAAGGTTCCCTCTCTCCATGTAACTCTTTTCCTACGGCCCAATACCAAGTCACTCTAGTTAAATCACACTGTAGTAGGGAGGGAGCAAAAATATCACTGAAGTCATTTCTCCAGTTTTAGTGCCCTCAGCGGCAGAGATGCAAACATACGGTTCTCATCAGCATGGCCTAGAAATAAAACTCTATTCTAAACTCAGCAAAAATTCAAGTGTGTTATGCTTACATTTCTCTGATTTTATTCTGATTGCCAATATTAAAAACGTGTGATTAGGAAAGCTTAAATTTGTGTTGTTTCTCATATATAAGGGGACTTAAAAATTACATACTATGTTACCATCACCAAATCCTTGGAATTTTTCTCCAGTTTTCTTCCCACTTTTAATTACAAGTCATAACTGAAGGTGTACTATGGCCAATGTGTGTTTTAACAAATAAATCCTTTACAGCCAATTACAAATAAAATTCCTATCAGTTTGATTAAAGCCTTATTTTTTTAGTATTCTTAACTGACATTTTTCTACACTACCATAAAGGGTCACTTCAGAAAGTTCTAGCTTAGAGCATTGGGCTCACTTACATTTCCATTTTACCTCAACTAAATTAAGTAAATAAGGACTTGTGTGGTTTGAGGTTTTAAGTCAATAATATGAATCAATCAGCAAAGTATTAATACTTACCCTCAAAGTTTTATATCCCATTCATATAATTATAATACGAGAGCTTTGGTTTCAGAGGATGGAAATGCACTAGCAAATAAGGCTGCAAAGCTACAGTGCTGGAGCCAGAGGCTGCGCCCACCTGCCAGGCCTCGCCTGAAGCCCAGTTACTGCTGTGCTATTTTTATTCTACTATTTTGAGTTCTATTTTTAAAAGCATTATGAGGGTAAGAATTTCCTTCACTAGAGACAACTGGAGGATACTCTATTAATTTAATACTACAGAAGAATGATTGAAATCTCTTGTGAATGATTAGCACTTTTAATCTCAGGAACAGCAGAACATTAACCCTTAAAATGAACTCGAAGAAGCAGGCAGAGTGCAATTGAAAGCGATACAAGCATGCACATGCACACGATAGAATCTGTCTCTGTGACCCTTCCAGGAGAGAGACAAGACTCAACTGACAAGGGATGTGATTATACCTTGAGAACTATAGTGTTACATAAATGGAACTGATTCATCCAGTGGTGAGTCAAGTCTAAAACTGAGCAAAACCTTTTCAAAGTCTATACGTTTTTTTTAACATACTTCTAGCCATCGGAACCAGAAATTGATGTGTCGAGCAAATTAACATATGTAGCTAATGTATACATAAACACACCCGTGCAAACTGACCACATGGTTTTCATGCTGCTGAGGAGTAAATACATTCTAGAGAGCCAGCATCCGGGGAATGCAGGAACTATCATCCTAGTCTACATGTACTCTCTGCTATCCACCTTGTCTTGTCATAACTACCCATCTGTGATACTCTTTAAAGGAGGTCCTACATTAGAACTTCTTTTTTAGAATAAAGACTTTTCACAAAAGCAAAGTGCTCCCTCAGCATCTAACATAGGTGATTTTATTATAAATTCAGCTTCTCATAAAGTGTTTTTACCCAAAAGTAAGTCATAAAAACTCTAAAAGGATAAGGAGCAGACACCCAGGATCTTGTCAAATCAATAACTTTCCTTCACACTTGTATTTTTTTTTCCTTTTATGACATCTCCTTTAAAATCCATTCTCCTGCTCCGGAGCTCTGATCTTGGAAGAATCAAGGATATGGAAAAGAAGGAAATCAGATGAATAAAGGTGGGCACCCCAGGAGAACACCACTAGCTCACCCCAAGTGCACTCCTATCTCACGGTTATTTCATTCATTTTACTTTTCTTGAAACTTAAAAAAGCTCTTCATAAAATTGAAGTGATGTTCCAGGCTGCTGAAACAGGTGGAGCTTTGACACCTAAAAATCTCTTTTCCTTCTGCCCTTGAAATTCCCACAAATTTGAAACTTTATCTTTTCCAAGCTGCAATATTCTGCATCCAGGGAGATTAACACTTTAAGCTTCAAGCTTGATCACAGTCGGCATGAGTCCTTGAGTCGCCTCTTGGGCACGGCTTCACTCTCTTCCTTAATTTCTCCAAGTTCCCAGATTAGTCCCTCAACACTCAGATCACATTCCCTGCATCTAATGCTTCTTAACACGATGGACTGCAAATAATTACAGCTTACACGCTGTCTTCCCCACTTAACTTGTTTCCAAAGTCTTAATCATAATAACTAATGTTTGCGCAGTGCAATTTTGAATCCCAAAGCATAACAAGCAGTAAAAACAGCTGAGTAAATGAATCTAATTACAAGTTCAAAAACCATCAGCACTTAGTTTTTCATTAAAAAACAATCTGATTTGTTTCAGAAAAACAAGGATTTTTATTAAAAATTCCAATCACTATAAAATATTACAAAATACATAACATGGCTAAAACAACTCACATTCTCCTTTTAATGAACAAAATTGTCTTTTAAGCAGTCCCAGGCTCAGTATGAGATGACTAATGCACTTTATTTATTTATTTATTTATTTTAAAAAGATTTTTATTTATTTATTTATACAAGCACTGGGTACAGGTCAGAAGCGCGGGAGGGTGCGACAATTCACCAGAGCCAGAGCAGGGAACAGAACAGGCAGACTGACAAAATACACTGCTGAGGGGAGCAGCGGGCAGCAGGAGAGGTCTGCGCGCCACGTGGGACCCTCGCCGGTGGCCAGAGATTGAACCGGCGCTGCAGAGGCTGCGGGCAGCTTCGCAGCCCAGTGCTCAACCACTGCGCCACCCGGGGAGGCCCGGCACTTTAAAATTATTTAACATCATACATGAGTATATATGCAATATCCTGAAAGCAAATAATGCAAACACTGTAAGTCCTTAAAAGTTATAAAGAGATACTTACTGAATCCCAAAATCTAGCACTGATGGCTGAAAATGCAAGCCCTTTCCACTGAATAGTTTGTCTGAGAAGCTGAAAGAGAAAAGAAAAGAGACATTAATGTTTGTATAGTTTGAAAACTCAAGCGCTGAGTTAGAGGATCCCCTCAGGCCAGTGGCTCGCAACACATGAGCTATGACTGTACTCATTTATGAGCCTGCATTAGATCTTAAACATTAAAACTGAACAATGAGGAGGGTAATGTAATTCTACAGCTGCCAATTATAGTTAATATCACAGATCAAATATATGGATTCTGTAGCATTCAGGCAAAAATGAAGATGGATTTAATTTTTAATAGGTTTCATTTCTTGGTCAATTCAGATAACAAACCTATTTTCATAAAACTCCAAATCAAGAAAGGACATACAAATAAGATGGAGTTGGGGTGGAAGATGGCATGGAGGAGGAAGGGGCTTTGACCTCTCCTGTTGTTAGACTGTTTAGAACAGGGGAGGGATGGGGAACATGGGGAACATGGTTCCTGAGACTGGAACTGTCATCAAATCTGTATTTCTAAGAATAGCAAATCACATAAAATCGCACATGGCAGGCCACCGTTATTAATTATGATGATGATTTCATTTTCTTTCTTTACAAAAGAATTTAAGAAAACACACGACAGATTTAACATTATACGAACACACTTAAAGATACAAAATGCAGGATATCTGTACATATACAGAACCGGAAGACTGCTACAGACAATTTTAAAACCATGTATCCCAAAAACATTAAAAGCAAAAGCAGCTCCTGAACGTAGCAGATGTATCTGCTTTCCAAGACTCCAGCAAGCTTCCAAAATACACTTTCTGTCCATCTCTCTGTCCACCAGGCAGCCCACCACCAAGCATGGCTTAGAGGCTGGTCCAGGACTGGACACTGAGTTTCAAACCTGCGGGCCCACATAAGCTTTGTCACCTCTAGCAAGTCCCTCTTCATTTTTTCTCAAAGGTCCAGACGGCACCAGAGGATTCTTCCAGAAACCTTGTGTCATCAGAAGGAGCCCAAATGCACCTTTTCGTTCCCCTCCACTTTTCTGCCCTATCAGCTTCCTTTCCTGCAGCCTCACTCTGAAGAATCCATTCCCCACCATCTCCTCTGTATCTCCCTCATTCTAATCTCCAGCATCACTTATTCTAATAGTACAGGTGACACTACAGTGTCCATCTTCTCCTGCCAACCTCTCCACTTACACTGAGCACCAAAGCCCAAAAGGCCAGGACTACCACACTCTGTTGCTTCCAGAAATGTCTGAAGAGCTTCACGGGATATGAAGAGGCACCCAACAGCTCATGCACCACCCCACCCGATTCCAGACCGAGCTGGCCAGGGCTCAGCATTGCGGAAGAAAAAGAAAACAGGCACCTTCACCTGCCCCAACTTATCTTTCGATAATCATGCTACTGCATGAGAAATAAGGAGAAATAATTAACACAGGTCTTCTTCCTGCACTGTGTATTGAAAAATGAATTTAAATCAGATATCACGGGCCTCCCCGGTGGCGCAGCGGTTGAGCGCTGGGTTGCGAAGCTGCCCGCAGCCTCTGCAGCGCCGGTTCGATCCCCGGCTGCTCCCCAGCCACCGGAGGAGGGTCCCACATGGTGCGCAGACCTCTCCTGCCGCCCACTGCTCCCCTCAGCAGTGTACTTCGGTCCTTCTGCCTGCTCTGCTCCCTGCTCTGGCTCTGGTGAATTCTCTCACCCTCCTGCACTTCTGACTATACCCAGTGCTTATATAAATAAATAAAAATAAATCTTTAAAAAATAAATAAATAAATAAATAAATAAATCAGATATCACATAAAACCGAGTAAGACAAGCTTTGAAAGATGTAAGGGATTCACCCAAGGTCAGAGACAGAGAGGCAAAGCCAAACTCCGAAGCAGATCTGTCCAGGTCAGAAGCATGAACCTGGTATGGCGTTCAGGCCTAATGAAGTTCACAGCATCTGCCCAAGGAACAGCAGCAGCCCAGCGCCGAGGAGGGCTTGGGCTTCAGCGTCTAGACCCCAGGCCCAAAACCTATCTCTTTCTAGTCCTGAGTCCATGGCTGAACCTCTCTCAAATCCCACCTCATTATCTGCAAGATGGAGGTGACAACAGTATCTACCTCGTAGGTCCCGGAGATTATAATGAGATAACGTGGCCTCTGCTTCATGCCTGGCACACACTTCAGTGCAGTAAATACTAGATATTGTGTTACTAAGAGGATGACTCTCATCTAACAAGAAAAGCCATGAGAACAGATGGAGAAGCCAACGAGCTGAGTCAGAGTTGACCTCCGGGTGTAGAAGTCCCCAGTGGGGCAACAGTCATTATCTCTGAAGAGAGCAAGGCACTTCAGCTGGGCCATCTCATACCATAACAGAGATCTTTGAATTCCACACTTGGGGAGTTTTACATATGCCCAAGGAAAATCAGACTTTGAAGGTACAACCAAAGCAACAAATAAAAATAGCTAGAATCTCTCAAATTTCTGAGAAAACTGTTTTGACCTCACAATGGAGAAATAAAACCACATTGATGTTTTTTCCCCTAAAAGTGGAAAAAACAGATTCCTCCATCTCACTGGTCAGTTTCAATGATTTTCCAATTTGGAAACTAGAGCAAATGAAAAGGAAATTTAGTTGTATAAGTTTAAAAGTTCCTGGGCCTCCCTGGTGGTGCAAGGGGTTAAGACGCAACCTATGAAGCCATCCGAGTTTGATCCCCAGCCAGGGAGCTACCCACATGGCACAGCAGACCTCTCCTGTCTCGCCCGCTGCTCCCCTCTGCAGTGCATTTCAGTAGATCTGACTGTTCTGCTCCCCACTCTCTCTCCAGTGAATCCTCTCTCCCTCCACACCTCTGGCTTGTATCCCAGCTCTTGTATGCATAAATAAATAAATCTTTAAAAAAAAAAGTTATTGTAGCTAAAACCACTTTGGGTATAGGTGGTGTTGGAGAGAACTCACAACACGCTTAGTAACAGAAAACAGAGGGATGAGAAATCCCTCAGGTCCTCAGACAAGCCCCAAATGCCCGGAGTCCTTATTCCTAGGGAAACCGAATCTACTGATAGCAGACACGCCCTTCCAAACATTTCAGTCCCGTAACTGAGACATGCCAGTGAACTAGCTGCAAGGGACGGTGTGGCCACTCACAGCTGTCATTCCAAAGGCAATGGCCACTTCTCCAGAATGAGCACAGGCGGGAGCCCCACCAGTCTCTCAGCTCCGGGTTCAGCACCATGGGGCAGGGGGCAGCTCACGGAAGAGTTTCCCCTCCAGGTCATAATTTAGGGCGCCAGAAAGGGTTGTATGGCAATCAGCAAAACTCAAAGATGAAGAGTTCAACGAGAGAGGAGAAACCTAACCCTTTCTTGTGGTTCTTTACCAGAAGGTACCATGGACTTGGCTCGAGCTCTTGGGCTTAGCCGCCCACTTTGGGTCAAGCCATTCAGGCAAGGCTTTTGCCCAGAAGGGGATTTATTTGGAATCTGTTATTTGAAGTCCTTTCTTCTCTTCTCCACCAATTCTAGAGCATGCATCCCTTAACAGTTTGGGGTTGCCTGCTCACAAGTTCACACCATGAGGAAAGAGGCAAAGGCTTAAAATAACACAGGCCACATCTGGAGCCCAGCTTCTGAGCCAAGAGAGCACACTAGAAACTCAGCCTGTTGACTCTGAGTGGGAGAGCTTGGAAACTAAGCAAGGAGTGGGGAGTGTGAGCAAGGAGGCAAGTGGCAGCCCAAGTGGGCAGCACCACAGCCAACACAGTAGGCTTCCCTGGGCTCGCGCCCCAAGCCACGGAGAAGTCATGTGGGCCACGGGCCTACATTGGGCCTTATTCCTGAAGGTCTGTCCACTTTCCGGAGAGCTTCGTGATGTCTCAGAAGCCCACGGGCTGTAGAGGCTCAGGGCCTTTCTGAAGGAATGGAAAATAACACGACCTTGCATCAGGGACTGGAAACCACCTACAGGAGTGTGGAACTGGATGGTTTTCATTTATAGCTTTGCTGAGTAAACTCAACACCTGGAGAGAGCAGCACATGTCTTAAAAGAAAAAAAGAATTCTTTAAGGTGAGGACAGCAGCCTCAGCCATCGGATGAGGGCAAAAAGGTTGCAAGGACAAGAGGAAAGGTTACCCCAGAAAAGAAACCAAGCAGACCACACCAAGACTACACTAGCATCTGGCGTCTCAAGGATTCGGAAGAGCATGCTGTGCTACTATCGTGGGGGCTGTTCTCTTGCTTCTGTGGATTCAGATGCCAGGCTGGGCACAGAGTCAGGGGCTGTGGACTCCACGAAGGTAGAGACTCTACACTGCTAATCTCCTAAGACCTTTTGCAGGAAACACGCATTTCAAGGACTCAGCTGCTAGTCCCAGGGCCCTTGCAGGAATTTTCCATCATGCAACATAACTGGAATGGATCCCTGCACAGACAGAAGCCCCAGCCCGGGGCAGCCCTAGCTGGGGCTTGCACAGGGCTGGCCACTCCAGGGCAAGGCCCCCCACTGTCCAGGGCTCAGCTCCGAAGCGGCCCTAAGCCCTCCTGTGACCCAGGACACCAGCTTTAGGAGCAAAAGGGCCGACGGCATGACTTCTGAAGTCAGTTGTATAACTACATGAGATGTAAAAATTTATATCATAACCCTAGGACCACAAATTATTCTCTTTTCCTTTTAATTAAAAAAAAAATCTCAGAAGTTTACAACTAGGAGAAAAGTATGCGCTACACAGGCAGGTCCGCTTAAGTGAAAGCGGCCACTGATCCGGGGAAATGAACTACTTGCAAAGAACCGCTTCACAACAGCAGCAGCAAGCAGCACTGTCCCCCATTAAACTCCGAAAAGGTGATGATGGGTCATTGGGCCAGGCATGATTTTCTAAGTTTCTTTACCTACAGAAAGCTTCAGGCTTCCACGTCCAAGTGAAGAGGGAAGCCCTTGCAGGAACGCCAGCAGATCCACGGGCGGTGCTCTCACTGACACGGGGAGATTGGGGTCCACAGCTGACGGCCAGGCCTGCCCGAAGCCACGGCACAGCCCG